GGGGAGGAGGGACGACAAGACAAGGAGGAGGAGAGAGCAGGGAGGAGGAGGAGGAGGAGGAGGAGGAGGAGGAGGAGGAGGAGGTGGAGGAAGAGGCTTGAAGAGGAGGCTAAAGGAGGAGGAGGCTGGAGGAGGAGGAGGAGGGGGCTGGAGGAGGAGGCTAGAGGAGGAAGAGGAGGAGGAGGAGGAGGAGGTGGAGGAGGAGGAGGAGGAGTAGACAGAGGAGGAGGAGGAGTAGACAGAGGAGGAGGAGGAGGAGCAAGAGGAGGACGAGGAGGATTTCGTCCCAGTTTTGCATGTCAGACGTTTGGACGTCCTTCCGATGTGTTCCGAGGATGAGCAGGCGGAGGAGGAGGAGGTGGAGGAGGAGGATTTCGTTTCAGTTTTGCATATCACTCGTGGGCGTCATTCCGATGCGTTCGGAGGAGGAGGAGGACGTCAAAGAGGAGGAGGAGGAGGAGGACCCGAGTTTCCGATGATTCCGCCGAAGGCAGAAACTAACGACGGAGGAAGAATCAAGCAGTGGCGAAGCGTCTTGATTCGCGTCTAGGCCATTCAAATAATTCTCTAAGTACCGCCCGTTGTCAGAGAGGCAGTTCTCGGGTTGGGAGGATGGGCCTGGGACAAAAAAAGTCATATCATCAGTCTGATCGCGTGTGTCGCAGGTGATTCTTACACAGTAGCACACACGCCGCCATTGGCCATCGCACCCTCCAAACCGTCTGGATATTGAATTGCCTGACAATTGTGATGGTATTTTAGCTAGAACTTATGCGGGCTCTTCGCCTGCATATCGCTGTGAACGACGTTCTCGTTCACCGCACGCGCGCGCCTCTCATTTCCTCGCCAGCAGTTCCTCTTGAATAATCCTTTTCTGCACATCGCGGACTGGGGCAGTAATTCGAGTCTGGCATCGCCTACGGGGTCCGATCGGCAACGATGCTGCACCGCTAGTGCCGACGACTCATGCAGAAGTCGTGGTGCAATTCGTGAAGAACGGAAGCGGACCAATGCAGTGGTGATTCCGTATCACGATAGGGGCGCAATGCGGAATTCCATAGTACTTCCGTACCAGGAACGGAACGCAGTACGAAACTTGCCGCGGTCCCGCAACCTTCCAATTTTTGTAAGGGCAGGATGAAGCAATCATTAGCGACTTCCATCTCAGCAATGGATCGCAATACGGAACCCGATGTGGAATTTACTAGTCATTGGGCAATTGCCAGACCCCCCCAGCATTGCTAATGCCCTCGGGCCTTTGTCTTTGAGGACCGAGGGAGTTGCCATCTCTTCCTCGGCGTAAGGCGGCGGAAGGCGGCGGAAGGGCGGTGGCAGTAAAACAAGGCCGCCAGCGCCGGCGGAAGCTGGCGGAAGTCTGGCGAAGCCTCGGCGGCTCAAGGACGCTTCTCGCACAGGCGAGCGTGGGGTCGCAAGTCCCCACCAGGCGGGCTTTTACCACTCTCCTCCTGCCATGGCGATGTCGCCCTGGGCGTGAAGGAGCTGGAGGAGGAGCTCACCGCTGGCGTCTGCGAGGCGAGCGCTGCTCGGCTGTCCGGCCGAGCTGGACCGCAACCCTCCGTCCGACCAAGTGGACTGACTACGGGAGCCAGGGCTAATGGGTGGCAAAAGAGCCTGGAGGCGCGCGGCGCGGCTGGCTGTAGTGACAGGGGGCTGCTGGTATCGAAGCCAGCTGCTCACACGTCCCATGGTTGCCCACGCCGTTCAGTGCGACAGCCCGCATCATCACCGAGCAGCTGAGCTTACCCCTCCACCAGCACGACCTCGACGAGCACAAGTTTCGTCTCATCCTCATTTGATGAAAGTTCGGAGCTCCAACACCGGGTCTTTGATTTCCATCGATCGCATGGGCGAGCTCTTGCGGCTAGCCAAGGATAGGTTGATCGCCATTGTTTGTTTTCAAAGTGCGTTCATGAGCGGTACTACCCCATGGAACAGTGCTGGCTTCAAAATATATCCTACCCCACGGGCATCCACACGAGCAAAGGATGGATGTTTGATCGCCCCCACCCCCTACCATTTCAACCCGCTTGAGGTCCGCTGCGTATATAAATGGCTCCCTGGGCGACTTCTTGGGCTCCGAGTCCGCAGAGATGGACGCCACGAGCGTGACCTCTACATCCTGAACGGCTATGTTCCGACCAACACCCCTCCCTATCAACCAGCTGGCGCTGACCGCGACCGTCAACTTCAGGAACGCAGACGAGCACAAGACACGTTTTGGCACACACACTTTGTTCTACACATCGTCGAGCCCCTCAGCGCACTACCCTTATCTGGTGCCTCGACGCCAACGGCGCGATTGCACCATAATTTCCACATGTCGGATTCGCTGGAGTTGACCACCATCCGAGAGTGACTCACCACAACGGCGGCCAGTTACTCACCATCCTTCAAAATATGAATTTGTCGGCGTTGAACACGCATGACAGCAAACGTATACATGCAGGTACTTGGTTGCACACACATGGCAGCACACTTGGTTGCACGCACATGGCAGCACATGGCAGCGCCGTGCAGCCAAGCAAGCGAAGCAAGCTGTCCGATCTAAGAAGCGTCAGCTAATTGCGTCATTAGTCGCAAATGCTGAGCGTGCTGACGCAATTCACGATATCCGTAGACACAAACAACTCCATCGTCAAGAGGCTCGCGCCGAAGCCCCGTCTGCCGATGCTGACGGTCCGCAACCCCGTAACGGGCGCCCCGTGCTCGGATGATTTCGAGGACCAGCAAGTTCGGACAGATGCTCATGTTCCGTCTTCGAGGCGACCGAGTTGCCCATGGATGCGCACGGAGGCCCCCGAGAGATCAGAGGCCCCCGAGAGCTCAACGAAGCCCCCAATGAGGATCTCATAGGCCAGTGCGACGTCACTTGCGCGACTGGGGCCCTCGACAAGCTCCCCAACTACAAGAGCGCCCCCGTCCTCAAGTGGATCGACCCCGTCACGTCCGAAGCCCCCCGCCAGGGCCCCGAGGGAGCTGTTGCAGAACTATGGGAGCTCTGCGCGGACATCGTAGGATGCCCTCGTCTTGGCGTTTTTAGTGCCGCCCAAGCTTTCCAACGATATCCCCAGAGGTTCAAAGATGGCGAAGCAGTCTCTCTGAGGTCGCCCAAGGGCGACGGGATGAACGCCAAGGACCATTCCAGAACAATCAATATCATCGGCCACGTGGGTAGGTTTTCACGGACGTTACAATTATGCCAGAGTTGCGCTCGATGTCGGGCAAATTTTCTGTTGCGCAGTTTGGCGAAATTCAGGGTCGATCCACGAGAGACGCCATTGCTTCAGTTGGCGAAGTCGGCAGACGCTTTCGCGCTAGCCCGCGCCGAACCAAGTTTCCGCGCACTATCCTCGTGTCTGCGCTGATCGATTTAAAGGGCTTTCGAGTTGCTAGGTCGGAGTCAAGCGTGGGTCGCACTCGAGCAGCTCGCGCTTTCCCGCCAGACCCGCCTGGTGACAGAGGAACTCTACAATGGCACATGCTACGTTCTTCGAGATGCTCGTACTAATCGCCCCTGTAGCCAACTACTCATCCGCAAAGGCGTTAGACAAGGTAGCGTCGAAGGTCCGGGGTTATTCATAGCTATCTATGACATGATTACCCAGGAGCTCGGAAGTCAGACCAAATCCGCGGGGTACCAGTGCATTCAGTTTCAGTGCGACCCCCGCTTCCAGCTCTTCCGGAATTCGGCCAACCTTACAGATCTCGAGTTAAAGGAACTAGACGCGTCCCAGATCAAATTCGTAGATGACTAATCGCGCTGACGGTTGTCGACAACCTAGATGCTATCACCTCGTTCTTGGACTTCCTGAGGGCTCGCGCTAATGCCAGCGGCATGGCCATGAACGCCCCGAAAACTAAAGTGACGTCGAGCGTTGTGGGGAAGGGGCGCCGACAAAATCCGACAGCAACGAGCGAACCAGCAGACTGGCATCAGCATGGCCCACGCAGACATGCAGGCTCGCCCGCTGCACCCGACGCCGACAGTAAAGTACCTCGGCTGCCTGCTCTCCGCCACCAGTTTCCTACTCCCCCCAGGTCAAGACTCGCCTCCGCGAATAAGGCTCACGGTCGGCTGACCCAGAGAGTCTCGAAAAGCAACCTCAGCAAACGACTGAAGGTGCGATTGTGGTGTTCGCTGGTCCGATCTATCGCGCTGCATGCATTGGAGGTCGCTTCTCTGACCCGCGCCGATCTGAATAAGTTGGGGCGGTGGCAGACCCGCGAGCCTCGACGCCTTCTGAGATCCCCAGCTCATATGCGCCGCGTATCGAACTCCGACATTCGCCGTCGAGCCAACATGTTCAGCGTCAGTTCTATTCTTCTGCATCGTAGGCTCCACTGGTGGCGGCGTGTCATTGCACCGGGACTTCTACCATAACCCCCTGAATACGACCCCACGATTGCAGTGCGATCGTTTTTTGGGGGGACGCTTTCGTTTGAGGATCCTAGGTGCCGCAACCATTTGTGTCGTCTGGGGTCACTCATTTCTGATCTATGCGCGATATGGGCCCGCGTCCCAGCAGAAGGCAGGGGGCGAGCGCCCTCCGATTCGCCGAGTGCTTCTCGCGACTGGCTAGAATGGCTTACCATGCTCTCAGACCCAGAGCTCAAGGTCGTTCTCTCGCTCGAAGCTGAGAGTGATCAAGCTTGTGATTTTTGATGTTTCACGACTTCTAGTGTCCCCGGAGTGCGGAAAAGCATGCAATGGCCAGATCGGATTGGAGAATCGCAGATACGCAGTCCACCCCATCGTTGCCAATCGTGCGAATATTCCTCCAGAGGACCTTAGCGCCCGCAGGTGCCCACATTGCTCCTCGGTCTTTACCGGTAAGGACACCTTGATCAGACACACCCAGCTTAAACGATGTCCTCATCTCACCGATCCGCAGACAGTTCGGGCTCAGGTCCAGCATCCAGGGGCCCCGAGACTTTCTCTGGCGCTCTGGCAGCGCCGACCCCCAGAGCGCAGGCGACCGATGTTCACGCCAGCAGCCGTGCTTCTCAAGAAGAGGGGCGCGGGCGAGGCAGGGGCCGAGGGCGCCGACAACGCCGGCAGAGGGGCCGAGGTCGTGGGCATCTCGAGGAAGGACAAGCTGATGACGAAACTGCTGCCTCAACGCGAAGACAACCTCCGCGGGTCGGCGAGGGGCCAGAAAGTCGCGGTGAGGCTCAAGGTCGGCTCGCGGATGCAAGCGGCGCTGGCGGCGAGCACAAAGCGCTGCCAGAAGGCTGGAAAGGAGGCGCGCGACGCAGTCGCAGCCGCGGATTACCGCGGCTACCCGTTTGGCGAGAAGCCAGACGCCGACCTCCGCATGTTGCTCTTCAGGATGAGCGAGGCAGTGGAGACCAAGTACGACGAGGTCAAGGCCGCGGTGGCACAGGGACCTCACCCGCAGGAGTCCGAGACGGCGCTGAACTTCGGGAAGAACCTCAAGGGCCCCGAGTTGCGCCTCAAGGCGACGAGATGCTTCGACGTGACGGTCGCAACGGACAACGACGGAGAGGAAGTATGATAGGTCAAATGGATATTCGCAGCTACGGCGCACCCCAGCGCGATGCAGGCTATTTACGTGCTCAAGGCCAATGGCGGCCTGAAGTCCATGAGCATGATTTTAGGGGACGGCGACGCTCCACGGTCCATGGCGACCAAGGAGCTAGAGAAATGTGTGTTCAATGGCTGCGGGGACAGCACCAACCGCAAGCAGAAGGATCAGAAGCGTGCGAAGAAGAAGTGGTGCTTTGTTGGCCGCCGCCGTTCCCAGCCGCCACCTTTAGACCTCAGAAGTTCGTTCGATTCTCGGGGCTCGGGCTCTGGAGGACTCTAGTTCAGGTGTCTTTGATGAGGGCCCGCCTGGATGCTAGAGGGTATCCTGGCGGCCGCTTTCGTTGTGCCATCCCCTCAGGGGAGGGGGTGCTCGAGCGCGGGGCCATAGGGTTCTGCATATGTGCCCGCTCCTCTGGCCTTCGGCTTGCTCGCTCAGTGCAGCGATGGAGGCTGCGCCGTTCTTCGGTCGTCTTTTTGTGGGCCCACCGCCAGACATCCAGTCGACCGTTCGAGGGTGTAGCGGTGGTAAAAGGAAGTCTGGCAGAAGGCGGCGGAAGTGCAAGATGCGCCCCCAAGAGGTGAAAACGGTTTTTGCCTCGGGTGTCCCGGAATGCGCCACACGGTAATTGCAGTATGGAGCAGCTCCCCCACGTGGAAGGCAAAACACTTGTGGCGCGTCCGTGACCGTATGTCTAGGTTTCCAAGATGGGGTCGGAGTAGATGGGGTCAGGGGGATGGTGCCGCATCGCCGATGCATTGGCGTTGCGCCGGCGATGCGTCTCGATGTGGGGCTCAGTATTCTCCATGCAGGCGTCGCCGATGCATCGCCGACGTCGGTAGTGCGTCGCCGATGCAGGGGTGATGCATCGCCGATGCATCGGCGATGCGGCGCGGTCCTCCGACCCCATCCGCTCGGACCCCATCCTGGAGGCCTGTGGTATGGTGGCCACGGATGAGCTCAAACGGCCCGTCGGCACATCTGGACACAGCCGGTCCCAGGGGCCCCGGCAGGGGCCGCAGCCCCAGGGGGCGCGGCCCCCCCAGGCGCGGCACCGGACGCGGCCTCTCCGCCATGGCCCCCGGGCGGTTCGCCCGAGGGCACGGGCGCAGCCGAGGACGCGCCCGCCCTGTCCCGATGATTGGCCTGTTGTCCACCACCACCATAGGTTGGAGGGGGGAGGGGGTCCTCCTCCCCCTCCTCCTCCTCCTCCTTCCTCCCCCTCCTCCTCCTCCTCCTCCTCCTCCTCCTCCTCCTCCTCCTCTCCTCCTCCTCCTCCTCCTCCTCCTCCTCCTCCTCCTCCTCCCCCCCTCCGATTTGCGGTGGCGGTGGTGGGGACAAGCCGAGGCTCCGAGATGTGAGCACCTGACCCAGGCCCCATGACATGGATGGTGTGTTTCGGTTTTCTGTCTTCGGCTTTTCACGGTCTTCTGTTCAGAGTTTTTCTGTCACCGCCACTTCGCGGCGATGGTTTCTTCCCCCGCCGAGGGGAGGGTCTCGCAGGGCCTGCAAGCGCGTGGGCGCACAGGCGGTGGATGCCAGGCGGGCCGGAGCGGCCTCGGAGCCTCCGCCGAGGCCATGGGCCATGCAGTTCACACAGGGCCGGGCGGCCCATCTGCGGGATGGCTGGTGGCGGGCCTGGACCAGGCGGTCGCTTTCTGATTCATTGTCTTGCCGATCGGCGCGGGCCTTCGCACCTCCCCCTCCCTCCCTCCCATGGAGTGGATCCTGGCTGTTTCTGCGCGCCTCTCTCGAGCAGGCGGAGTCTCCCCCCCACCGGACGCACTGGTATAAGCAGCCGCATGAAGCAGAGGTCTGGACCCAGACATGTGACGCCATTACTTTTTCAGGACGGCGTCCCTGGGAGTCCCGACCTTTTCCCCTGGACCGGCTTTTTGTCCTGAGTCGTTTGTTGGCGGTCCCGAGGCCCGGCGAGGGCCCCCTGGGTTTGAAGATACCTCAAAGCCTCCCGTCCTGATTTCTTTCACGACGCGATCACGTTTGAGGAGCACTCCCCCCCCCCCCCTCGCCCCCTCTTCCGCCCAATGTCGCACCGCCGAGTGAGAAAACGCTCACCAGCTGCACTGGGCCAGACGCCGCAGGAGGCCCGGCGCAGCGCGGAGCCCTGGCCGTGGCCTGCTCGGAGTGCGCGCCCGCCGCCACCGTCCGCCGGGCCGAGAGCTGTGCCTCCGCCTCGGCGTCGCGCAGCTCGACCTCGAACGAGAGTCCACGGTGATGAGGTTCCAGCCTACTTTGGCCTGGACTGCGGGCAGTACTTATATCCATATCCAGAGCGTCTTGGACTTTTCGGGAAGAGGTGCCGCAACGCCGAGGCGCACTGGATATGGATAAAATCAAGCCTCTTGGGGCCAGATTTTTATCCATATCCAGTGCGTCTACGGTTTCTGGGGAGAGCCCAAGACTCCAAGACGCACTGGATGTGGATATAAGTATTGCCCGCATGAACCACCAGAAAGAGTCTCGAGCACCAGGAAAGTACCGACATTGGAGTGTTCTCACGTGTCGGGCCTTGGGAGGCACTGTTTCGACACCTCTCCGGGTGCTCGAAACTCTCGACACTTTTTTTTTTGCATGTGGCCCCTGCGCACGATGGGCGCAGCAGAAGGCTGCAGGTGTGGCTGGAAGCCGGTGGGCTGGGGCCCCGATCTCCGCGAAGCGGGCGGCCCCCGCGTGCCGAGGAAGTCGGCCACGTCACGCCCAGGGCGAGAGCCAGGCAGAGGTCCGCGTCTTCCGTGCGCGCAGGGCACCCGCGGGCCCATCGGTGGCGGGCCGCCGCCGTGGACCCCACGGCAGATCTGCCGTCAGATCTGTCGGCACCCTGCCCGGTCGAGGCCGCCCGGGCGGGGTCCCCCTTGCTGCCCCCCCTCGGTCGGCGGCGGGCGGTGAGGAGGAGGATGAGGAGGAGGAGGAGGCCTTCTCAGAGGGCGGGGCGGGGCGTCTCAGAAGCCCTCGCGCCCTCTGAGAAGTCCCCCTGGGTCCTCGGGGGGAGGCTCGGAAGGCTTCTCAGAGGGCCGGGGGGCGTCCGAGCCTTCTGAGAGAAGGCCTTCGTCTTCTCGCGTGCCCCTCGGCTCGCCGCCGACCTTGGCGAGGGAGGCCAGGTCCGTGACCGCGAACGTGGGAAAAAAAACAAAAAACAACCACGTGGGACAAAAAAACAAAAACAACAACAAAAAAACACAAGACAAAAAAATGATGGGACAAAAATCATTGTGGGAAAACAAACACCAAAAACACAACAAAACATACACAAAAACACAACAAAAAAAAACAGAGGAAGTCCATGTAGCGGAGCGCCTGCAGGAAGGGCCACCTCTCTGCGCGCCCTACCCGGGGAGGCAGCCTCCTTTCCCGAGCCGTCGTGGTAGACCACCGTCCTGATCCGACGCTCCCCAAAAAATTGGAGCGGGCGGTTCTTGGTAGTTCTCGACCTCCGGGGGCCTGCTCCAGGCCTCGGGATCGGCAAGAAACGACCCAGGACGAAGCACTGGCCCCAGGGACGCGGTCTGGACCTCCCAGGCCCACGCATCGAAGAAAGTGGAGCAGCCAGGGTGTTTGGGGTGGTGGCCCTTGGTGCAGGGCAGGTGACCGGGACAGAATGGGCGCTTTTGGCTGGAGAGGTACCACCATCGCGCGTTCCGCTTGACCGCGTCCCGGGAGGCGCCGGCCCAGAGTTTGCAAAGCTGCTCGGCCCGCGCACCGCGCAGGACCGCCCGCGGCGGGGCCAGGATCTTGTAAGCCGCTCGCGTCCATCCACACAGACGCCTGCGGCGGCGGCACGTCGCGGTGGTAGCTGAGGATCTGGCGCCCCTGCCAGCGCTGGACATCCTCGCGAGGAGCGGGGCGATCTCCTCGGGGGGTGTGCGAGGAGGAGGAGGAGGAGGAGGAGGAGGCGGACGAGGACGAGGAGGGCGCGAGGGGGAGTGACAAGGGATACGGAGGGGCCACCTCCACCGTCCCACCGCTATCCCGCTTTGCTCCTCCCCCTCCCACCGCTCACGTCCCTCACATGTCTCCTGGTCACCGCTCTCCCGTCCACTCCACCGCCCGCCCCCGTTCTTCGCCCTCTTCCCTTGCCCTTCCCCCCATCCCTCCTCGCTCGCCTCGCCTCGCCTGTTATCGCCTCCTCCTCCCTCCGCCGACGACGCCGACAGCGACGCCGAGCACCGTGATGACGAGGAGGACGCCGACGACGAGGACGCCGACGACGGCGCCGACGACGACGCCGACGACGACGATGGCGCGGACGCCGATGGACGGCGGCGCCGCCGACGTGGAGGCCGACGGGCCGCGGCGGCGACGCCGACGGCGAAGACGCCGACGACGACGACGAGGACGACGACGGTGACGACGACGACAGGCGGCGGCGGCGGGCGGCCCGGCGCGGGGGGCGTCCAGGCGGCCAGGCGGACGGCGTCGCGGCGCTGCACCTCGAGCCGCGGAGCGGGAGGCGAGAGCCGCCGCGCGGCGCTGGGCGGCGACTCGTCGTGGTGTCTCGTCGTGGCCCAGGAGTTGATATGTAGGGCTCGTCCTGAACCATGGCATCGCTCGGGCGCGTGCGTCTTTGTGTGTTCTCGGCAAGGACCCTCGAGGTGCACGCACGAAACAGCGCACGCACGAACAGTGCACGCACGAAATCGACAGATGCACGGGGAATGGACGTCCGAGCGATGGCGAGTCAAGGACGACATCGACAGATGCACGGGGAATGGACGAAATCGACAGATGCACGGCTCTTGGAGGGCTTCCTGCCAAGGGATGGGTTCCAGCAGTTTTGCCTCGCCGAGGGCGTTGCAGATCTCCAAAGGGAGCCCCTCCATCCAAGCGCATAACATCAGGTTCTGCTACAGTGGAATACTGGTTGGCTCGCCTGTATGTGTCTTGATTGTTATGTGGCTTTCCGAACGCAGGCCTCGCACCTGGAAGTCGCAGCGTGCATTCCAACAACTACGCAACCCTGGGATCGAGCAGGGAGGGATGGGAAGGGAGGGAGGGAGGATGGGACGGGGGGTTCAGGGGGACGATTCGGACAAGACAGGAGAACACGCTCAGGAATAAATCTGTGAATATAGAGGAAGGAAAACAGTAAGAGGATGGGGAGGCGGATGAGGCGTGTAATGAAATTCATTCGGATAATCAGGGCGATGATGAGGACGAAGCAGACAGTGAACATGAGAAAGAAAACGGAACGTGGAATGGAACATGATCTGGATCATGTTGAGGGGAAGGAGGAGGATAACGAGGAGGGGGAGGGGCAGTGGCAGAGGCGGGATGTAAGAGGAAGGGGTGGGTGGAGGTCAAAAGGCATCGGCACGATCTCCCCCCCCCGAATGACGAGGACGATGGCCCGTACGAGCACAATCATGGGGACGAGCGCGCGGAGGAGGAGGAGGAGTGAGCGGGTGGTGGAGGGCACAGGGGGTTGGGGGAAAGCAGGAGGGCGAGGTAGGATGAGGAAGAGGAGGAGGAGGAGGAGGAGGAGGAGGAGGAGGAGGAGGAGGAGCAGAGGAGGAGCAGGAGGAAAAGGAGGAGGAGGAGGGGGATGAGGAGCAGAGGAGGAGCAGGAGGAAAGGGAGGAGGAGGCAGAGGAGGGCGACGACAACGCGATGGGGGCGGCGGGCGGGGGACGGGGCGTGCGCCGCCAGGCTGTGGGCGCTGCTGGACTCCGGCGAGGTGGCGGCCTGGGACCTCCTGACACCCAGGGCCCTCGGCCGCTGGCGCCACCCGGGGGGGGGGGCTCCTCCTCCTCCTCCTCCTCTTCCTCCTCCTCCTCCCATTCCTCTTCCTCCTCCTCCTCCTCCTCTTCCTCCTCCTCCTCCTCCTCCTCCTCATCCTCCTCCTCCGCCCTCACACGGGGTGGTGGCCACACACACCGTGTGGTCAGGCCAGCCACAACTGGGGGAGCTGTGGTCCTGACCCCCCTGGGGGGCCCATCGATTTCGACACCCCCCTCGAGAGATCGTCGACGCGATGGGTTCCCCCCCAGGGGGGTAAGGGCCACAGCTCCCCCAGTTATGGCTGGTCGGGTGGTGAGTCGGTGGGGATTCGGGGTCACCGCACGGCTTTGGGACTTGGGTCGTTCTCCGAGGGCGTCGCGGGCGGCTGGAGCCTCCAGGGTCCCAAGGCCGTGCGGTGACGGACCGTGCGGTGAGGTCTTGGGGGATTTCGCTCCAAAGAATGTCACCGAGCGTTTTCCACTGCTAGCATTCGGTCTGGCCTGTGCCTCTACAGGAGGAAGATGATTCAAACATAGTCAAAGAATAGTCAGGGGACAATGTTTGTTTGACTATTTTTGCTTATTTTTAAGACTATGTTTGAGAGATTGTTTGAACTGTTCCTCCAATTTCTGTATATAGGAGGACATGCCCGACCTAATGCTAGCAGAGTGCTGGCTCGCAAACTTCCCGAAGAAGCGTATTCGCCTCGACGTGATGTGGCGCAAGCCCTCCTCGGCGGAGCCAGCGAGCAGCGGAGCGCGCTCGTCCAGAAAAAAGGCAGAGGAAGCGCAGGCACGGACCCGGGCGCGCGGATTCGCGACGGGTCCCGCTTCCGTGCTGGGATCGGCGCGCTTCGCGGCCGAGTCCGACGGCGCTGGCCTGATTGGCGCTGGCCTCGTAACAAGTGGCACGTGGGCCATGGCTCTTGCACAACAAGGAAGGGGGAGGAAGGGGAGGAGGAGGAGGAGGAGGAGGAGGAAGAGGGGGAAGACATCGCCCCTCGGGGCCCAGCAACAGGGCCCAAATCACAGGTGGGGAGGGGGGAGGGGGGAGGTGGTGTGCGTCGCGGGCGAGAGGCGTGGAGTGGCCGGCGGCACTCCGGACGGAGATCCGAAGAGCAGCGGGCGCACCGCCAGGGGCATGCCTCCCTCTCTCGGGCGGACGCTGCCCGAAGATGCGCCGACCCCCGCAATCGGAGATGGAAACTGCAGACGCAACGCCGAATCGGAGGAGGAGGAGGAGGAGGAGGAGGCGGAGGAGGAGGAGGAGGAGGAGGAGGAGGAGGAGGAGGGAGGAGGAGGGAGGAGGAGGAGGCGGAAGAGGAGGGAGGGTGAGGAGGAGGAGGAGGAGGAGGAGGAGGGAGGAGAGGAGGAGGAGGAGGAGGGAGGGGGCGGGGGAGGAGGGGGAGGAGGAGGAGTTCAGACCCCCGATCTGGCAGCGGACGAAAGGGGGGGAATGCGGAAGGAGGGTCCCGCGCCGGGCGCGTTCCTCGAGGCATCGCCCTCGGAAGTGCCCTGTGCCCTCTCGCGGGTTCCCCCTGCCACTCGTTCTCCTTCTCCTCGTCCCCGTCGGTCCTGAAGCGTTTCTCGTTCAACGACGCGCACATTGGCCCCGGTTGGTGTCTGATCTGAGGATCCCCGCCCCCCCCCCTCTGATCCTCCCCCATCGCCCTCCCTCCCCCCCTTCTCACCCTCTCCCGTCTCCCTACCCCTCCTTCCCCCCTTCTCCTCCCCTCGTCCTCTCCCTCATGTTCTCCCCGCTCGTACCACCCGAAACTTTTTTTGTTGGAGATGACAACGCCGGCGCTACCTACTGAGCTCCATTATTTTCCGCTCGACCGCCAGGGCGCTCTGGCGCAACGACATCAAGCAGACCAACGTCCTGCACCACGAGCAGAAGATCGCGAAGGAGCATTTCCGCATCACCAACGACAGAGTCGAGCTCCACGACGCAGTGACCTTCCGTCGCCCATTCGCCAGCCGCCAGACGGATTACCACCACGAGCGCGCTGAGGCCATCCGGAAGCGCATCGACACCGCCGACGAGGAAAAGTTGGTTGGACTACACCGCGTCCGCGAAGCAGAAGCTCGGCGTGGCCAACTGTGGGCACCCCGCAAGCGACGCATGATCCTCCAGTCCATCATCCACGAGGGAAGGGCATCTTCGAACATATCGATCTGCTCGAGCACATCCGCACGTGGTGGGGTGAGGTCTCTGCGGCAAGGCCGTGCGCAGCGACCTTCACCACTGAGTTCTGGACGGGAACGCACAGGATCTCGACATCGCCGAGTGCAATGCGCTGGCGCTCCACAACATCGAGATGACCATCAAGACTGCCAACCGCTCAGAGCCAGGACCTGATGACCTCCCGTACGCCGCGTGGGCCAACAAGCGCGGCATCAACCTACTCCACGACGTCGTGCACGACCTGCTCTACGGCTTCTTACCTTCTACACACTTCAGCGCCTCGATCCTGGCGCCGATCTCGAAGATCGACGAACCAACGGACGGCATCCTCACGCGCCGAAAGGCTGCGCAGTTGCGGCCCCGTCGATTCAAAAACGCAGACGCCGTGATCATCGCGGCCAGCTGCCGCAGAAAGATCCACGCCACAGTCGCCCAGAACGCTCAGCTCTTCCGGCGTGAACTCCTCGAAGGGCGGGCGGCTCCCGGCCAACCTCGTGCCGCTCGACGTGGTGGCAGGGGCAAGGAGCCGGCGGGCAAGGTTCGGAACCGAAGCGGTGCGACACAGCCACGATGATCGCCCGTGTCTTCGTCGCAGGTCGCCGCTCCCCCCCCCCCTCCCTCCTCCCTCCTCCCTCCTCCCTGCTCCCTCCTCCTCCCCCTCCGCCTCCTCCGCCTCCTCCTCCTCCTCCTCCTCCTCCTCCCCCTCCTCCTGCTCCACCTCCTCCTCCTCCCCCTCGCTCAACCACTCTTGGCTATGGGGTGCGTCCAAGGCTGCCGGCCTCAAGGGGGGGACTTTCACACGCCGCTCAAGCTAAGCTATCTGTGACAGACTGCAGACGTCCAGTTCAGATTCACGGTACCGCCTAAAATCGCACAAGGTTGCCCGCTCAGCGGCACGATGTGGCGTATTGTTGTCAATCCCATCCTGATCCGCTTGGAGGCGGCCATTTGGCTGCATCCACCATTATGCCTCACAGCCTGCGCCGACGACATCAGGGCAATCATCGAGAGCGGAACCCTGCTCAACAAAGTGCGCGCCACCATCCGTGCTGCGGAGCTACTGGCTTGGCTCCGCCTCAACTTCAAGAAGTGCGTCGTCGTGCCATTGGGAGGCGCACTGGACCCTCACAGTATCGAAGGGTTCCAGGGCTCGCTGCGCTCCTACTAGGACTCCCTGGGCCTCAGCATCGTTGACAGCGCCAAGCACTTGGGATTGCTCCTCGGCCCCGCGGTGACCAACGATTCGTGGGCCGTGCCGATCCTCAAGTTCACGCACCGCGCGGTTGAGACCGCGAACGCTGGAGCCCCGGCGTCGACCTCGATCAACATGTACCGCGCCCGCGCCTGTACGTCGCGCAATTCGGGCCCGCGCAAGGCAGAGCACTGGAAAGCATCGAACACTGGGCCGTTCGCGAGACTCTTAATCTACCTGGCAACGGCGGGTCGTGGGCCGTCTTCTCAGCCTGGCGGAGTGGTCGCGCATGCAGCTGCCGCCGCTGGAGCCGACGTGCCCGGTCGCCGCCGTGCGCATGGCGCCGGAGACGGCCCCGCAGTGGCGCTGGCAGTTGCCCCAGCTGCGCGGGATCGCGGTGTCCCACGAAGGACGCCCGGCCGCCTTCCCGTGCTCCACGAAGAACGCCTCGCCGCCACTTTGGCGCTTTTATCGGCCATCGCCTACCATCAGGAGGACGCCGCGACCGCCCGCCCCGACCACAGGGTGATCAACCCGACACGGCCAATGCTCTGGCCGCCCTGGGCCGTGCCCGTCAGGAGGCGGCCGCCGCAGTGAGCGAGGGAAAAGCCGCCGCTCCTGTCTGTGCCCAGCGCATCCCGTCCCGCCCCTTTCGCCCCCTGCTTTGCCCCGATCCGCTCGCCCCCCTCCCCCCCTCTTGCTTCTCGAAATCTGCTTGGCCCTGCCTCGAAGAGAGGCTGGCCCGTTTACGTTGGGCAGGGCGGGGTGCTGTAGCAAGAGCTAAGAGCCATGTTTGGCGCGTTGGGCACATCTTGCAGGTTGCCAGTGGCCACGCAGCCCTGCCCCTCCAGGTGTCCAGAGCACCGGCACGACCAGGCACACTACTGTCACTGTGGCCCGCTGTGGAGGCTGGTGCTCCAGCCTGGTCTCGGCTCGCTCTTGGCCGAATCCTGACGTCGACGGTACGTTCCTGCAAAGCTGTGCGATGGCACCATGACGCGTTTGAAAACCTGTTCCGCATACGGCAATTACAGACGCGACCTACATGACCGTGGTCGCGGAGGAATCGGACATGCAACGACGACCACGTCAACATTCCCTCCTCCATGGGGGGCCAATGGGTTGGGGATTCGGGCAGGTCTCGACCACTTCGTCCTGGCCCAGTCTGTCGTCCCGAATCGTCCGGTACCGATCCCAGGAGTGGGGGCCCCCAGAGGCCGAGAACATACCAAAACCTCCCTCCATGATTGATTTGTGAGCGACCCGCGGGGGGCTCTAGGGACGACGACGAATGTGGCTACGACGATGGCGGCGGCAGCGGCGAGGCCAACTGCGGCGACGATGGCAACGCCGCCGCCGCCGCCGCCGCTGGCGACGACGACGACGACGAAGACGACGGGAAGAGGACGAGGGGGGCCAAGCTAGGTGCGCTCGCGCCATGGCTGACATCCGACCCCTCCAACTCATCCCTTCCTATTGTGCCGGAGCCAACAACATTTCAAACAAACCATCGTGTTTTGGCCGTCAGAATAGGCGAGCTGTGTACATTGGAGGAAAAGGACACGGTGGCGGATTAGCAAGAGGATGAGCCGGGGGAAAAGGATGAATATGAGAGAGGAGGAGGACGAGGAAATACATCAGCAGCAGTAGCAGGATTCAAATGAGCGGGGGGAGCAGGAGGACCAGTGGATGGCGGAGGACCAGTCGTCGGCAGCCTACGGGGCTCTGAAGGAGCCCGCAGCAAGCGGTGATGCTCAATCGAATGATACAACGACCCCGCCGCAGGCACCGACTTATTCGTCGAAGCAAGTGGGTGGGTCGCGGGTGGGTCGCGGATGGGTCGCGGGCTGGGTCGCGGGTGTGTCGCGGGCTGGGTCGCGGGTGGGTCGCGGCTGGGTCGCGGGTGGGTTTCGGGGTGGGTTGCGGGAGGGACGACGACAACAACCAACAAACAACAAGCAACACATAACAAACAATTGACAACAAACTTTAACACTACCAACAACAAAACCACCACAATCAACAACAACACCAACAACAAGACCAACAACAATAACCACACTCAGTTTACGACTGTTCGTTCTTTGGTTCCCCTGCCGTCCGTCTTCGATCGTACCCCCTTGGGGGTATACCTTTCTGATCTGCCACGCATATTCCTTGTGGCCCCTAAGGCAGGGGAAGGGATGACGGTTGGAAGGGAGGGACAAGGGGGAGGGATGAGGATAGAACGCGAGAGAGGGTAACAGGAGGGGGGCTAGGAACAGAAAGCACGTGGCAGAACCAGACGGACAGATCGGGTGGGTGGACCCTAACCGGATGGTCAGGAACGCGGTCCCGGGCGGCCAGGTCGATCAGGCGGGTTCTTGAAGCGTGCGTCGTGCATGAATCGCAAGGAAGTTTCGAGCGACAGCGTGATCCCCAAATATATCGTGAGGACATCCACAGCGAGAGCGTGATTCCTGAATGTCGAGGGCGCGGCGCCTGAATAAATTGTTAAGAAGTTCCGCGCGAGAGCACGATTCTTGTATACATTGTGAGGAAGTTCCGCGCGAGCGCGCGATTTGGGAATACATTGTGAGGAAGCATCAGGCTGGAACCGCTGTTGTTGTAAAGCGGGGGCCGACAAAACAATTTTGGGATCCAAGACTTCTCTGTTAAAAATAGCCTTGGGAGCCCCAGGGAAAGAAAATGAATTGAACAACACAGTGTGCCCCCAGATGGGGGATCAACAATAATAACAGCTTCCGCAGTGAGAGTTCAATGCTCGCGTGCCATCCAACACGTACGTCCTAACCCTCGAGACTTGCCCTTTTCGTCCTCGATCGTAGGCCCTTGGGATACATCTTCCTTACTTGCCACGCGCATCTAGTGCAGCCCCCGAAGCGGTGGAAGCGAGGACGGATGGAAGGACGGGGCACAAGAAAGGGAAAATGGGAACTCCAAAGAAAGTGACACGAGAAGGGGCTAGGAGCAGAAAACACGTGGCTGAACCAGACGGGCAGATCGGGATGTTGAAGCGTGCGCCCTGCATGAATCGCGAGGACGTCTCGAGCGACTGCGCGATTCCCAAATACATCGCGCGAACATCCACAGTGAGAGTGTGATTCCTGTGTGTCGATGGCGCGGCGTCTGAATACATTGTTCGGAAGTCCCACGCAAGAGCGCGATTCCTGCATACATTGTGAGGAAGTCCCGCACGAGATCGCGAATTGGGAATACATTGTGGGGACGTAAGTATCAGGCGTCAGCCGTTGTTGTTGTAGTTCGGGGGCCAGGGACGCAGTTGGGTGACGCCCCACTTTCGCTGTTTTTTGTTTGTTTTTGGGGTGTCTTTCTCAGTATCACTATTAGATAAAAGGGCGCGAATCCTGGGAGACTCGCCTTAATTGAACATGCAATGTTTACCAGGCAGGGCAAACATGGGAATCCAACTACAACATCTACAACAAAAAGCAACAACGCCATCACCAACACCGGCACCAACAGCATCACCATTCACATCATCATCATCATCATCATCATCATCATCATCATCATCATCATCATCATCACCAAAGGCAGCAGCACCAACAACAACATTCATTTTGAGACTGTTCGCTCCTATCTGCGAGCGTGCCGTCCAACTCGTACGTCCTATATCCTCGGTGCCCGTCCTCTTCGTCTTCGGTCGTGCCCCCTTGGGGGTAGATCTTCCTTGCGTGCCACGCGCATTCAGCGCAGAGCCTGACACAGTGAAGAGACGAGGGATGGAAAGAAGGGACTAGGGGGGAGGAGGAGGGTAGGGCACGAGAGAGATTCGCAGGAGGGGGGCTAGGAGCAGAGCGCACGTGGCAGAACCAGGCGGGCAGATCGGGCGGGTGGACCTTAGCGGGCGGGTCGGGGACGCGGCCCCGGGCGGCCGGGCCGAACAGGCGGGTTGCTGAAGCGTGCGCCGTGCATGAATCGCGAGGACGTCTCGAGCGACTGCGCGATTCCCAAATACATCGCGCGAACATCCACAGCGAGAGCGTGATTCCTGCGTGTCGAAGGCGCGGCGTCTGGATACATTGTTCGGAAGTCCCACGCGTGAGCGCGATTCCTGTATGCATTGTGAGGAAGTCCCGCGCGAGAGCGCGATGTGGGAATACATTGTGAGGAAGTATGTATCAGGCGGCAGTCGTTGTTGTTGTTGTTGAACATTATTACTTCTAAAGAATAATTATTGTTGGGACCCCTGGTGCACGACCCCCCCGCCGCGCCTAGGCCGCAGCCACATTTTCATCATTTTCGTGAGGAAGTCTCAGGCAAAACGGGTTGGTCCGGATCCGGTTGTTTTGTTACGGCCCGCTTTCCCTTGCAAAAAAATA